TGTTGTTGTCCAATTTTTTCTGAAAGGGCTGCAATTATGCTTTTTTTCACCCAATCCCTTTCAGGCTCACGAAATGGAACTAACTTAAATCGGGGATCGCAAAATGTGCTGGCAGCTAATGTTTGGCTTCTTTCTATATATGCGAAACGACTATGCAAGCTATAATCTAACTTTTCCAAAAATGATTTAACACAATCGTATAATTCAAGAGTTTTAAGCTTTCCAATTACTTTTTTTAGTCCATTGACAAGAGTTAACACAATTGATGCAGTTTCATAAGAATCGCCACTAAAATCTTTTGTTACCATTTCAAATGGTTTAAGTATTTGGCAAAGCTGTTTTAGTATACTCCACTCAGTAAAGCTTAATAAAGGTAGATCAGCATTACATAAAGCAATTGTTGTTTTTATAGCCTCTTCAAGTTGCAGAAAGCGTTCTAACATGTAAAACGTGCTATTCCAACGTGTTGGAGTATCTTGCAGAAGCTTAAGTGGCTGAGACGTACCCTGGTTTCGTTGATACTCGATTAGTTTTAAATTGGCAGTTGAACTTCGTTTGAAAAAGCCGACAATTGTTTTGGTTTTGGTGATGACTAAATTAATTTCATCGCTACATTTAAATCCGTCTTTGACTATCAAATTTAGCGTATGTGCCAAGCATCCCAAATGTTTCCATTTCAAATTGTTTTCAACAGCTGATTTTATATTGGCTGCGTTGTCAGAAACCGTAAGGATTACTTTTTTTTCGATGCTCCAATTTGTTTAAGCTCAGTGGCCAAATTTTCAGAAGTGTGACTTGCCAACATTTGCGGGCATCCTAGGAGTGTCGAGACCATTTTAAAATTTTCATTTATGTAGTGCGCAGTAACAGCCATGTAGCTATCGTTGTTGCAAGACGTCCAGCAGTCTGTCGTCAAGCAAACGTTTTGTGTTTTAGCCATTAACTTTTGTACAGAAATTCTGCATTTTTCATATAAAGCTGGAAGCAGCGTGCGAGAAATGAGATATCTGTTGGGTAATACGTAGTTGGGATTTAAAGCCTTGACAAATTTTTTGAACGGCTCTTCTTCTACCAAGTGGAACGGCTGAAAACTTTCAGTGAATAAATCGAGGAGTTTACAGTCTATCATTTCTTTGTTCGTTTTTGTTAACGGCAACTTAGCGAAAGAAGAGATTTTTGGCTGCCGGCTTGTTGCACTTGCCGAATCTCGTATGGTATTAACATCTGTCTCCACAACGACGTCTCCAACATTATCACCACCATTTTTACTACTCTATAAACATTTATGAAAACCCGTTAAAATAGTTTTTGAAACAAAACCTATGCAACTAACCTGTGGAAGTACTGAAGGGACAGCTACTGTTGGATGCTTGCTTTGTAAATGTCTTTTTAGATTCGATAAACTTGTCTTACAAGACAACTTAGCTCCACATACATTACATTTCGCGTAACATCCGTCAATTGCTGTAAATAGTTTCACTCACTTCAAAAGTTCACTCCTTTTTCGTTTCTCCATGGCTTTTATTCAATTAGTTAAAGCGAATTTGCAACCAGCAAAAAAGTGTTTTGTGTTTTCAACGGAAAACGTTGGTAGTTGTGTCGCCGTTAGTGAAATTCCGATTAAAGTAAAAATCCAAACAAGTGAAGTATTTTAGAGGGATTTGGGAGAAAAATTTAATAGCTTTCGAATTTATCGGCCTTTAAGCTAATAAATAGATTTTTACAGATTTGTAAAAAGTAAAGTGATTTTATTACAATAAAGCGAAACAATCCAAACCTAATATGTACATAAAATACATGAGACAAAACTTCGCGAAGATAGTACTTGTATCAAGCATGCTTTTGCCCTTTTAATGAAGATCTTAATTTAAAACTTTACGGCAGTACTGTTTACCAGTTACAGCGATTGATGCAATTGTGAATAGTTCAACAGTAATAGTGATGCCACACGTGGTAGAATGAAAAAATAGGAAAACGGTGATTTAATATTTTTAATCACTGTGATAAACGGTGACTTGAAAATCGCTGTGAAAAAGTCGCCGATAGTGATTTTTTGCCCATCACTAGTATAAACGTAGTATATTTCAGAGGTTTACGCACGATTACTAACACCAAGCGCCTAAATGCATGCTATGCACCGCTGTATGTGC